CCCTTTCCTTCCCCACGCCCCAGGCCTCCCGCTCTCCAGCGCCCGCCCCGTTTCTGCCTGGCCTCCCCACTCTCAGATGGCCGAGGCCGGCCCCTCGTGAAATGCTGGACCCACCCCTTCTGGAGCCCAGCCCAGCCCTTGGCTGACCCCATCCTCACAGCCGGTCAAGGCCTTGCCTGTGCCTCGTCTCCCGAGGCCACATCTGTCCCCCTCACCCCTCCCACACCAGGATAAACATTTGGTGCCCGGATGGGCCGGCAGGACTGCGCGACGACAGTGGCGTCCTGGGGCTGAGGGGTGGCACCCAGAGCCCCGGGTCGCAGGCCCAGGCTGGGCAGCCTGAGTGTCCTCTCGGACGTTTGTCCCCACTTAACTCCCTGGCAAACCCCCCCCCCCAAGGGCTGGGCACGCTCCTGGCCAAGGTGAGCCCTGCCCAGCACCACCGCTGCTAGGTGCCCCCCTGCTGCAGGCCTTGATCAGAGCTGTGGCTCCCACCCCCTCCAGGGGTCACCCTGGGCCCTGAGTGAAAGGCAGGAGCGCCCACCGCAGGAGAATACTTAGGCCCAGGTCCGAGGACCTCAGGCCCAGGCCTAAGGGGTGGCCTTGCTTCCCCTGGCGGGACCAGGAAATCCTGCAGAGCCTTGGGCCAGCCTGACATGGTCAGGTCACAGGGGCGAGAAAACTTCCAGAATCAGGAGACTCCACTGAGGCCCTGGATGAGGAAGACCTCACAAGAAACAGTCCTGGTTTTGGGGTCCTTTCGGGGGAAGGGGGTGCCAAGCCTGGCCGCAGTGACTCAGGAGGGCCCATCGTGGATGCTCCCAGGAGATCTGGTGCCCGCAGGCCCCTCCTACCCAGAGACCGTGCACCCAGCCTTCCACAGGTGAGGGGACATGCTTTAGCTCCAATCACCCCCCACCGGGCTGGATGCTTCTGGAAGCCACCTGCTCTGGTCACCCAATCCAGAGTGTCACACCCGTGGGAGGCTGGGGGCTTGCGGGCCGTGGTGGGGGGCAGGCCGCTCTCCCCACAGCCCTGCCAGGCCCCTCTCTAAGGCAGAATGCTGCAGCCCCTGCACCTCTCCAGAGGCAGCCAGCCAGCCCTGGGCTCCTGCTGGCCAGGAGGAGCCTCGCGTTGGCCATGACCGTCCTTGGGCCCCTCGGGGTCTGGCATCAGTGCTTCATGCCACCCCCCTGGTCCTCCCCCAGCTTTGGCTTCTGGACCAGCTCAAACCTCCTGAGTTGGGAAGGAAGACGCCAGGTGGAGACAGTGGCCAACCCAAAGCAGAGAGGGGACGAAGAGACAGAGGCCGGGCCAGCACAGGGGGAAGAGTGGGCCCCCTGTGGTCTGGGTAGAAACTCAGAGAGGGCCTCATTCGGGGACACTCCGAGTCTGGGGCGCCTCCTTAAAATTCAGAGGAGCTACCCTCTGGGGAGCCCAGGCGGGGCTGTGGAGGGCTTCTTGCACCTGGAGGAGCCCTGAGCGGGCTCTCCCGCCCGTACCCAGCCCTGGTGGTCTCATGCTGCAGACCCAGCACCCCACCCCCACTTCCGGCCCCGGTGCCCCACCAGGGAGCACGGCCACTCTCCGCTTTGGCCATCTCTCCACCGGGCTGCCTCGGGTCTTTCCCAGGGCAGCCCTGGAGGCTGGACCAGTCCAGGAACTGGGAAAGCGGGCAGGGAAAGGGGATGAGGCCTTCGGTGGTTTTCGGGAGTATTCTGTCGAGAAGCTTCTAGGTGACCCCGGGCGCTGCCCCCCTTCTACTTACAATCTGCTGTCTGGGGATCCCCCCATGGGAGGAGCATACTGGATGGGGTGATCTCCGGGGCTGTGAGCCACCTCTGGAGGGCGGGGGACAGGCCTGAAGGGTGAGGTGGGGTCCAGTGGGGCCTCCCCTGCCCACCAGCTCAGTGCTCCCTCAGAGCCCCTTCCCGCAGGCTGGGGGCACTGATGGCCAAGCAGCAAGTAGGTGGGGTCCACGAGGGCCCTGTGAGTCCCCCATCCAAGACCAGCGGACACTCCATTAACCACTGGTCAGCGAGAGGCCACCAGGTGTTGGGAGAGCCTCAGCTCTGAAGGGCCAACCATCTATGGGGGATACTGCCTGGGGACTGGGACCCGTCAGTGGCCCCCAAGGAGATCAAGCCTAGGCCTGGGCCCGGGCTTGCCTCTGACCTGCTGGACCAGAAGCAGGGGGATGGCATCAGTGACCTCTCAAGATCCAGGCCAACTTCCGGCATCCTTGTAGCCCAGCAGCTTCCCTCCCGGGCAGATGCCCATCCCCCCTCACGCCTGGGCCTTGGGCTACAGGGAAACTGCAGCCTCAGCTCCACTGACTGCTGAGCAGCCACGTCTGCGGCTCACGTGCCCGCCAGGCCCACGGAAGGCCTGAGCCCAGCCACATCCAAAGCTGCCAGCTTCTGCGATGGGCCCAGAGATGGGGAGGAACCTAAGGCGGGGACCCCAGGTCAGCCTTCCGGGGGTCTCTCCTGGTGCCAGGGCTGGGAGTGGGCTCCTGAGAGGCCAGGGTCTGGCTCCCGGGCTCAGGGCAGGCACCCTGCCCTCCCGGGTCAGGGACAGGTCCCCTCAGACACCCCACCTGCCTGTCCCCCTGAGACCCAGGGAGCAGCCCCTGGTCTGCCAGGACCGGGCAACTCAGCGCTCAGTGGGTGCCAGGAGGAGCCTCACCACCCGCATGTCCAGCACGTACCCACCACCTGGAGAGCAGAGATGGCCCAGCCGGCGCTGCTGACCACACGTAGGGCCAAGCTCAGAGCAGAGCGGAGGGGTGCAGAGGGCACAGAGGGGGTCCTGGTGCCTGTGGGATGCCCCCTATGGCTCCCGTCCCCAGCCTCCGTCCTGCACAGCCCCAGGGGAAGGGAAGAAAGGGGCATAAATCTTGCAGGAGTTGCTGGCAATGGCCCAAACCTATCTGGACCTGGCAAAAGGTGAATCATCGGCCCTTGGGGGGCCGATGCCAGGTGTCCCCATCAATAGGGCTCTCAGGGGGACCCCTCCTCCACCTGCCGGGCCCAGCAGCTGCCCGGGCACCCACTTCCTGGGCCCTGAAATCGTGCCCTGGGTCCTCTGCAGCTGGGCCAGGCCCAAGTCCCCACTCAACTCGTTTGCTCAGGGTTCCCTGGAGCCTGAGTTCCAGGAGGACTGGGTAAGGGGCTGGAGAGGCACCTGAGGGAGAGCCCGGGGCGGGGGGAGGAGTCCAGGGCCCCAGCCTCAGCCCAGCCCTGCCCACGGAAGGCCCCATCGCTGCCAAGGGGTTCCCAGGGTAGCCCAGGGGCAGTACAAGGTCCGGGCACCCGTCCCCACTCCTGCCTGCTCTGACGGACTGTCCCCGCACAGCCTAGAGGATGAACAGTGCCTGAAGGGCGGGAGCTGATGGGAGGCCAGGCCAGAGGGGTGGGGGTCTCAGGCCTGCCTCCTACAGCCCCAGCACCAGTGAGAAAGCAGGAGACCCTCTGCACAGCACTGCCCACCCAGCGGCTCCCCCAGGCAGCCCTGCTGATGGAGCTCCCTGGTGCCCACCCCAGGAAACCCGAGTCTGTGCTCCCAGACCCCTGGGCCACTGGGGAGGGGCGACAAAGGGCGGTACACGCCGGCCTCACAGCCCCAGCGAGGCACCCTGACCTCACCAGGACCCCCGTGGGCCTGATGCCCACCCTCCTGCCCCCACTAGGTGGGTGGCAGGGCCCATGCTGCTCCCATTCAGGCAGTTGACTTGACCCATACCTCCCCCTCGATCATTTCCGGCCAGCCTTGGGGCCATTCCAAAGCCCGAGGCCAGGGCTGCCAAGAATCCAGCTCCCGGGTGGAAGGTGCCAGGCACTGGGACAGGAGCCTGCACCCTGCAGGGAGCTGGGCCTGTGTCTGGGGATGACCAGCCCCGTCCCCTCACTGGCCACAGCTGCGTCCCCTCTGCGTCTGCACCACACACGGGACCTCTTTCTGCAGCTTCATCCTTCCCAACCTGTACCCCAGATACTCGCACCCACCCCACTCACCGTTGCTCAGAGCCGTTGACCCCACTCAGTCCTGTGCTGAGGCCCCGACTGGCCTGGGGTGGCCTTGGACGGGATCAGGAGGGCAGGTGACACTTGCCAGATTTGAACAGGGCCCAGGACCCCATCAACCCAGAGAGGCCTCTGAAGGGAGGCGGCCCTCTGTAAGGTGGGCAGGTACCCTCTCATCTACTGCCACTGGGGGAGGTACCAGCCGCAGCACCCCAGGGAACAGGACAGGCTGAGCTCCACAGGGTGGGCGGGACTGGTGCAGGCGGGGATGCGCGGTGCGGGGGATGGGCCTACGCCCAAGGCCAGAGGGGCCCAGGCTGAAAGAAGTGCCCAGGGGGCCCCCAGCCAGAGCCCTGACAGCTGGCCGGTCGGGGAAAGCTGTGCCCAGCACACCTGGCCCTCGGCCTCTGCTTCGGGGGCAGATTTGGCTTCTTTACTGTGGCCCAAGTTTCCCGTCCCCCCGAGGCCTGCTGGGCTTTTCAGGATCAAACTCATACAGTGCAAATGGGGCCTCGCTTCCCCTCCCAGGGTGGCCAGGCTTGGAGACGGAACAGTGGTAGGGCTTGGGCGGGGGGCGGGGGCAGTTCCCAGTCCCCGGTGGGAAGTGACCAGAGGCCCCAGAGGCAGGGCAGCACCGAGGCTCTTGCCCCCTGCCCCCATCCAGGCTGCTGCGGCGGGTCTTTCTGGGACTGGAAAAAGGACCAGCCGCGCAGGGGCCTCTGGCTGCCCGCCCCCGCTCACCCTGCTGTGGCAGCGCCCAGGACTGTCCTAGTCAGTGCCTCTTACATAAGCAGCCCTGTGGGGGGCTCAGCTGCCGCTGGGCTCAGCTGCCCTGTCCTGCCCCCAGCATCACGAGCCTCCAGTGGGCTGTCCTTGTGCCCTGGGTGGAGGCCAAGCCAGGCCCATAAATAGGGGTCTCCCCGGTGGCCTCCGCGCCTCCTGCCTGCCTCTCTGCCTGCGCTGCCTGCTCGGCTCTGGGAGAATGGCCGCTCTGAACATGCTGTGGACAGGGCTGGCCCTGCTGGGGATCCTGGGGGTCCTGCAGATTCCAACCCAGGCCCAGGCCGCCCTGCAGCCCAACTTCCAAGAGGACAAGGTGAGGGGCTCCTTGCCGGGTCCCCAAGGCGGGACAGGGCTGTGTAGGGAGCAGGGTGCTCCCTGGGGCCCAATTTTCTCCCTGGGAAGGGGGTGCTGAAGGGAAGGAGGGCTGGACCGGCAGGAGGAGGCTGACCATGAGAGGCCTTCCCGGGCAATTCGCCAACCAAGATCTGGGTACATTACCCCCGACTGGCAGGGAAGAGCCTGTGTTCACAAGCGCCCACACGGCACATGCAGACACACGGATCACCTGCGTGCACGTCATCCCTGACCCCACATGGTTAGCCCAACGAGCTCACGATGCCCAGGGAAAACAGGCACATCTTTCACACCTGGGTCCTAGGACACACCTCCGTGGGCGAGCGTGAAGATGGGGATGCTGCACAGGGCGGCGCCAGGGGATGGCCACAGCAACCGAGTGCGCGTGTGTTTGCGACCCTCCCCCCACTCCCCGCGCGCGCACACGCACGCACACACACAGACACACACACACACACACAGCCGGCGGCGCGCTCCCGGCTGCGGGAACAGTGGGAGTGGGTGTCCCAGCCCCGCGCCCTGCTCCGACCCCTCCAGGGACGGCCCCAGCGCCCTCTGGTGCCAGCTCCACGGCCAGGCAAGGCCGGACCCAGCGGAGATAGCCTCTGTGTCAGGATCCACAGGGTTCCCTGGCAAAGCAGCTAGCCAGGGCTGGGGGCAGGGGCTGCTTTTGGGGCTGGCTCACATCTTTCTTTGTGCAAAGCTGTCAGCCAGATTGGTGGTCAGCTGCTGTGATGAGGGGCTTCCTAACCTAGAAAAGTCCTCAAACTCAAATTATCCCCCCCACCATCTAGGTAGCTGGACACCAGAAATCCCTGCAGTTGACATTGCTTTAAGTTAAGATGCTTTAGGTCCTAAGCAGATGCAAATGTGTTCCCAGGGAAGAGTGATGTTAATCCATTATTTTTGACATGATTCAGTAAGATTGGCTGTTATTACTTTGCAAGCCTTGGGGAGGTGGCACACAGGACGGGTAAGTTTTCACAGGGGATGGGGAAGGAAGCAGGAAGGGAATGGCTTTGCTGAGGTCCCTAGTTACAAATGAGCGTATAATGTTCTGGAAATAATGAAAGAGCTTTGCTGAAAAACTAATGATTTAGAAGAACCCCAAAGTAAAGTAGAGAGAATTAAATTCAGATTCATCAACACTTGTTCAGTAAGAGAAATAAGAAGCTGTGTGTGCTGTTTTTCCCACAGAGAGAGAGAGCAAGAGGGGGGAGGGGAGGGGAGGGGGAGGAGCGGGGCGCCCACCATGGCGCGTCCGGGAGGGTCCCGGCTGACCAGGGTGGGGGCCGTTCGCCGCAGTTCCTGGGGCTCTGGTTCACCTCGGGCCTCGCCTCCAACTCGAGCTGGTTTCTGGAGAAGAAGACAGCGCTGTCCATGTGCAAGTCGGTGGTGACCCCCGCGGCGGACGGTGGCCTCAGCCTCACGTCTACCTTCCTCAGGTGGGCGGCGGGGCGGGCTTCTGGGGCTGAGAGCTCCCCGCCCATGGTCGCGGTCTAGGGACAGCCCCCACCCCTGCCGGATCCCTGACCCGAGGGTGACCTGCCCACAGGAAAGACCAGTGTGAGACCCGGACTCTGCTGCTGCGTCCTGCAGGCCCCCCAGGCTGCTACAGCTATACCAGTCCCCGTGAGTGGGGCCCCTCGCCAGACCCCAGGGTCAACTCAGGAGTGACACCTGCTGGTCGGGGACTCTGGGTGACACCCTGCCCTGCAGTACATGGAGTGGGGGTGTGACGGCTGCTCTGCCAGGGTCGGCCTGGATCTGCCCCGGGATGGAATCTCCCCAGCTGTCTGCTGCCCCATCCTGCTGCCCCCAAGGCTTCCCCCACACCTTCCGCAGCTCTCCGCCCCAGGCCCTCGGGAACGACCTCCCCGCTGCGAATCTCTCCTCCTCCCGAGAGGAGTTTGGCTGCAGAGTTTGTGGCTGTCCCATGAACTCCCGAGTTCCTGAGCCTGTGTGTCTGCTGGGCCCCCAGGACTTCTGGCTTGGGGACGCTGGGCTGTGCTGGCAGGAAGCAGGCAGCTGGGGAGGGGCAGGGAAGGCAGCTGGACAGAGGGCGGAGCATCAGGGCCCCTCCCACGCCGGCCCACAGCCGGCGCCCTCGCCAGGGGTCCCCGACCCACCGGGGTTGTCTCCTGGGCCCCCAGACTGGAGCAGCAACCACGAGGTGTCGGTGGTGGAGACGGACTACAAGGCCTACGCCCTGCTCTACACCGAGAGCTTCCGAGGCCCCGGCCAGGACTTTAGCATGGCCACGCTTTACAGTACGTGCCCCACGCCAGCTCCCACTGCCCGGCCTGAGGCCCGGCCCACGGGGCAGCCGGGGGACTCCCCAAGCCTGGGGGTGGGGGCCGAGCAGGGGTCTCCCGGATGGAGGCCAGCGGCTTCTCCTTCTGCCCCAGGCCGCACCCAGGTCCCCAAAGCTGAGATCAAGGAGAAATTCACCACTTTCGCCAAGGCCCAGGGCTTCACAGAGGATGGCATTGTCTTCCTGCCACAGACTGGTGAGGGGCCGCTAATCTGACGGGAGGGATTAAGGTCAGATTACAGGCAGACACACAGTCTCCTGATTCGGGGGTGATTGAGGCCTGGGGTTCATCCGGCCGACTGCGCACTGACCGGTACACGGCCTCCAGAGTGTGGGCGGTCTGTTCTCCACACCGTGACCTTGGCCTGAAACACCCCCTCCCTGGGTTCACCACGCACCCACTGTGTGCCAGGCCCCCGGGTGGGCCCCCAGGATACATAGGTCCCCAGCCTGGTGGGGGGCAAGCCCTAGAAACAAAACCCGCGAGGTGGGTGTGCCCATGGGGACACTGGGACAAGCGCCCTGGGGCTCAGCACGGGCTCCCCGAAGTCTCAGCGCCCACGGCCTCCCTGGGGCAGGCAGCCTGCTCTGGGCCCAGGGAGGGACGGGACCTGCTCCCTGTTTGGAGGAGCAGGGCCGGGGCAGGGGGTGTGTGATGCAGTCAGCAGTTTGAGGGTCAACCAAGACGCTCTCCAGGGCCACGGGGTTAGCGACAGGTGGGGCGGGGTAGGTGGCCCGGCCTGGGCGCTGACCGCCGTCCTGGGCTTCTCTTGGCAGACAAGTGCATGGAGGAGGACCCCTAGGTGGGTGGGGAGCTGCGGGCCGCCTTCACCCAGCAGTGCCCACCCATGCGTTCCTTCACGCACTTGCTCACTTGGGGCGTGCTCCCCACAGCCCCGCCCACCACGCAAGCCTGGTCCAGGCCCACGGGGCTGCTCCGAGGAGGAGGGGGCTCCACCGGGGTTCCGCGAGGTCGCTGGGGTAGGAGGGGCTGGCGGCTGGGACAGGAACCGGGAGGGGATGCAGGGTGGGGAGGCCCCCATCAGGGGCTGGGGCCCTGGGACGGCCATTCCCCCGCGGCCTGCAGCCAGCAGGGGCCTGGGGGCCCGGGGCCCGGACTGCGGTGTTGCCCGCCACACCGGCAGGTCCTGCTCTCTTGGCCAGGTGACCCCAGCCCTCAGGACCTGGCCATGCTGCCCTGCTCGGCCTTTTCCTTCAACACCCCCAAGACCCCAGCCCCGGCTCCTGCGCCACCGGCCCTGCCCCCTCGGGCTTTATCCCAGCTCTGAGAATAAACTCCGGAAGCAAGTCAGCAGCCTGGCCTCTGTCTGTCTGTCCTGCAGTCGTTGCCCCCCTGGGCCTGGCTTTGGCAGGCCCCCGGGACCTGACCGCCGCCCTCCTGGGTCTCCCTACCCCCTCTGTAAAATCTTGGAGGCTGGCTCTGCATGACACCCCCAAGGGGTGAGCAAGGGCCCGCTAGCCAGGCTCCTGGTGGAGTGGAAGACACAGCTGGGTCAGAAGCCAGGACAGCTTAGGGGAAGCGCCGATGCGTCCCTCACCCACTCCACTCGGGGCCCTGATCTCACCACAGCCCCTCAAGGCCCAGCGGCAGCTGAGCCGGTTCTGGTCAGGTGCCCACAGCCTGCCCCCTGCCCCCCCGTCCAGGAGAGGCCCGAGGCCCAGGGCAGTTTTTGAAAGCGTGGGATTAGTGCGCTCAGGCTGGGCAGAGACACGGGTTTGCGGGGACCAAGAGGAAGGTGGCCGGAGTGTCCGTGCCCCCCTGGACTGGGACAGACTGAGTGGGCTGCAGACAGGCCACCCTCCCATCTCCCATGGCTACCTGAGAGCCCCCAGTCCCCTGGCCTCTGGCCTGGGCCTCAAGGGCGCGGCCCTGCCCGTTCGCCAGGCCTCTGGCACCAAAGCTGAGCCAGAGCCCCGGAGCACAGTCTCCCCTCCCCGCAGTCCCTCACCTTCTGCTAGCCCCCGGATTCCTGGCCGGCGTGGCCATTCTCAGGCCCCTGTCCTGGGCCCTCCTGGCTCACAATGTGCAGTGCCCACTGCAGCCTGCCCACCAGACCCCACCCAGGCAGACCTCAGCCAGGCCTTGCCCAGGCACCAAGGGTTGTGAGGCTCAGAGGTGAGGGTGAACTTCTGGGACGCTTCCTGGAGGAGGGGGCCTGAGGCTGTGCCTCGGCCAAGGGCTGGGGGCCACGTCCCAGAGGGCCTGCCGGGCCTTCGCCTCCCCTTGCTTCAGGGCATACGGCCCCTCCCCAGGAGGAAACACCTGGGCTGGCCGGGGGTGGCCAGAGGCCACTGGGCCAAGGTGCTCCAGGGTGCACCCCGATCGTGAGCCCATCACAGTGGGCTCTGTCCCAGCATGCCAGCCCCCCAGGGTGTCTTGGGGGCCTAAAGGCGCAGTGGGAGAGGCCACCTCAACTCTCCTACCCCGCCCCTGAGCCCGTGCAGTCGACAAGAGACACCCTCCACCACACTGCAGGTGCTGCTCATTGGCTGGACCCTCGTGCTGCTCGCGGCATCCCCAGGCCGGGCCCAGGTCCCCACCCAGGCCAACTCTGACACCAGCCAGGTGTGTCCAGACTTCCCTAGGCCAGACCTGCTTCTCACAGACAGCCTTTTTCTGGCTGCGTTCTACCCAGAGAGGCCGGAGGGCTGGGGTAGCCCAGCCCAGCCCTGCCCATACCCTCTCTGGCCCAAGCTTAGCTCAAGTCTGGGGACAGGGGACAGGGGACAGAGCTCGCGTCCGTCTGCTCGTCCAACTTGGGGTGGGTGTGCTGCGGAGGACAGCAGGCCCCTCAGCCCCGCCTCTGGGCTGTGCTCACTGCCACTCCCCAGGCCTCAGACCGGATGAGTGGCAGCTGCCCCCGCCCCCCAATTCCAGGTGAGGGAGGCTGTGGCACAGGGGCTGCCCCCCAGCTCTCCCTGTCCCCTCCCTGCAGTTCCAGGGCATCTGGTGCACGGTTGGGGCGGTGTCAGATGACCAGGGCTTCCTGGACTCCAAGGACAGCACGAAGATGCCTGTGGTCTTGGTGACCCCCTTGGCCAACGGCGACCTGGGCCTCAAGTTTGGGTACCCCGCATAAGGGATCCCAGGAGCCCCACCTCGGACTAGCTGTAGGCCCGGCCAGCGTGAGGTCAGACGTGAGCCAGCAGGAGCCAGAGGTGTCCCTGACCCGTCAGGGAGCCAGAGCCAGGCCAGACCCTGACCCTGCGCCAGGCTGCGGGGGCCATTAAAGCAGCAGCTGCAGCTCGCCTGCTCCCAGAGGGGCCCGCCTGAGGCCTGGGCGTGGAGGAGCAGCGTCCTTGTGCGTGCGTGCGTGCGCGTGTGGGTGTGTGCGTGCACGTGCGGGTGTGTGTGCACGTGCGGGTGTGCGTGCGTGTGGGTGTGTACACAAATGCACGCACGTGTGTGTGTGTGTATGCGTGCGCGCGCGCGCGTGTGTGTGTTTCTGGAGGGGAGACCGGAAGGCCCCACAGACCCCGCAACCCCTGGCTGTGTCCCCCTGCCCCCCAGGGTGTCTCCTGACCTGTAAGTGAATTATAAATCATCTGTGTGATTAGCATCGATGTGACGGCGGGGACAGGTGGGCCCTGGGACAGGCTGGACACCATCGCCCACGCACGGCCGTCGGCAGCACCTAAGTGGCAGCCGTTTGTGTCACGGTCGGGCAGCGTCCTCAGGGGCTGGGGGCTGGCCCGGACCCTACCCCCTCAGGGAGCCCAGCGGGGCCGCAGCGGCCTGGCAGGGGCTGCTGCGCAGGCTGCTGGGGTCCTCCTTCCCAGGCGCGATGGCGGGTGCCAGAAGATGGATGCGACCCTCACCGAGGATGCCGTGGACGGGCGGGTGAGGCGGGCAGTGCCGGGAGGAAGACAGAAAATGGGCAGCGGCAGGGCTGGCTCGGCCAGGGCCGTTTGGAGGGGACGGGGCGTCCTGAGCCGGCGCGCAGCTCAGCAGGCTCTCACTTCCCCAGCCATGGCCCAGACCAACATCCGGGCGGCTTTCACCGACTGCGAGCACTTTGCCACACTGTACTCTGAGACGCAGAAGGGAGACGTTAGGAACATCTGGCTGCAGCTCTACAGGGGGTGACGGGTGGTGGGTGACCCAGCTTGAGGGGAAGCGCTCCTGACGCGTCCCTCAGCCCGTCACGGCCTTCTCTGGGGGCCACGTGCAAGGTTTGGTCTGTAGTGCCCACGTGCCCTTCGCAGCAAGCTCTGACCCAGTGGCAGGTGGAACCACCATCTCCCAGTGTCTACTTGGGGTCCCTCCCCACCCCCTGCTCCCCACTTCCCCCTCCACCTCCCAGCCCTGCCTCTCTGCTCACTGGCCCTCCCTGCTCTCAGCCCGGGCCCCAGAGCCATTTCCTGAAGATGCACAGAAGATGCAACAGCTGGCACCCCAAGTGGGCTTGAACCCCAGCCAGGGCGCCCTGCTGCCCAAGTCAGGTGAGCGCTGTCCCCACGCCGGCTCAGGGCTGCAGGAGCTGAAAGACCCTAGACCCTGACGGGGGACTCGGGGGGAGCCAGGCCCCAAGCCTCACTCCACTGGCCCCGGGCCCAGAACAGGAGGACCAGGGGAGGCTGGGCGGTTCCCTGGCCGGTGCCCCTCAGGAGGGGGTCACAGGCCAGGAGGCTTGGCTACTCCGGGGAGGGTGTGGCGCCTCCGGCCCTGGGAGGGGGCACTGGGTGCTTCCTCGGGCCCTGCTCTCTTCCACAGACCAGTGTGCCGGCGCCCTCGCCTAGTTGAGTGCATGGGGCTGGCCGGGACCCAGTGCCCTGCTGACCCAGGGAGGCCCCTCCCGGCCAGAGGGCTGCACTCTGGGGGTCCTCCGTCCTGGGGCAGCGGCGGGGAGGGACAGAGTGGGGCCCCGGGGCGGGCCCAGGGAGCACAGGAGGAGGTGAGAGGATGCCGCCCCTCCCCACAGTTGCTGCCCGGTTGGTTTGCAGTGAGGGACCCAGCCCAGGGGTTGGAGCAGAGGGCCGTGATGCCGGGGCTCCAGGTACCCAGCCCTCCTCAAAGAGCGGCGCCCTCCCTCCACCCCGAGGCCCCAGCACCATAAACTGTCTCAAAAAGCCAGCGCTGTGCTTTTCTTGGGTGGGGGCAGGAATAGGGGGATGGGGCAGAGGAACCGTGTGGACCGGGCCAGGGGCACTCTGGGTCCCCCTGAGGGGACCAGAGAGGGACAGTGCGGGGCTGAGGCTCCAATCCTGCAGGGAGGTCCCTCCATGGCCGGTTCCGGGGACCCAGAGGGACTGGAGCGCGACCCCTCGCCACCCAGGCAGGCGTTAGGCCTGGGAGGGGCCGAGGCTTGGCCCCACGGGTGGTAGGATCCTCTGTCGGTCGGACGGCGCGTCACAGTGGCTTCCCTGGGTCCCCCGCTGACCCCGGGCGCCAGGCCAGGGGTGCTGCCCTCGCTCCGCGGCGCAGACCTGCGTGCAGTTGCCTGACAGAGCCGTGCCCGACCCACACCCAGCGCGCGCCTGGGCTCCACAGGCCCTGGGGTCCTCCCAACCCGCAGCCCAGGGGGGTCTGCACCGCTTTCCCAGCCCAGGCGGCCTCCCAGCACCCCTTCCCCCTTGGCCCCCGCCCTCAAGGCAGAGCTCTGCCCTGCCGTTGTGTTGAGGGAAACAGCGCGGTCCTTCAAGGACTGGTCCTGAAGAATCTGAGGGTAAAATGGCACAATATCTGTCACGTAACTAGTTCAGAAAAAAATCGTACCAGATGTAAATATATCAAAATGTTGATCGTGGTTCCGTCTGGGTGACGGTTTGTTATACTATCATTTCTGCTCTTCAGTTGGTTAGACAATTTTCCTTAGAAACACAGCCCTGTCCTACCAGATGGCAAGGTCACTGGGATAAAGAGCCCCGCATCCCAGGGACTGCAGACAGCCCCTCCACACCTGCACCCAGTACCCGGAGGCCCTGCCACCGCCCCTGCCACCTGGCCGACCTGCCGGCCTCTAGCCCTCTGCAGACACTACAAGGGCAGGGTCTCCCCCCTCCCCCCAGCCTGACACCAGTCCCACTATTTGGGAGCAGGTGGGAAGGCCCAGAGATCCAGCACCTCCCACCCAAGATGCCACCTGCCAACCAGCAGAGGCACCCACAGAGAGAGACTGGTGATGAACCATTCATCCAGTCAACTTGCTTTTTTTTCTGCCCTTGGCAGCGCCGTGTGTCTTGTGGGATCTCTCTTCCCCAGCC